GAGAAGGTATTTATAGAAAAGTATTTTTTTTTAATTTTCAAAATATTTTTCCGGATTTTTAATAATTTTTTACATTGTTTTTAAATTTTTATTCACCTAATTAATCTTTGCCATTAGATTTTAAAAATTTTGAATTGTAACACTCCAGATTGTGCCACGTGGCACAACGGTAATATTTCACAATTTTAAAATATCCCTGCGCCCACTTCTCTGCAGCTTGAGACTGCTCGCCAAGAGATCGTGGATTTGAAGACTAGGCTTGACGCAATCCAAGTAAAGTACGAAAGTGCAGTGAAGAAGATCGAGAAGCATAGACTCTAGTTTCACACCAACAAGGCTATGTGCATTTGTTTTTCCAAGTCATGATCATAAAAAAAAATATAGTTTAAACAAAGATAATGTAAAGAACTAATGCCAAGCATAAATTTCTTGAAAGTTAAGAGAAAATAAAGACCAAATCTTATCAATGAATTGGAAAGTAGCCAAAAATAACAAGACACAAAGAAAAAGAAAATATTTTTGGATTTTTCAGAAATTTATAATTTTTTTATGTATTTATTTATTTTAATTTTCTACAAAAAAAAATGAACAAGACTGAAAAAAATGAAGAGAAGAGTAAAGAAAATAGACAATACATAAAGAAAAATTAATCAATAAAGCTCTTAGACAAAGAAACTTCCCGGGTTTCAAGGAGACGGGCAAGCAAAGATGTAGAAGGCAATCCACCCCCAAACTTGAATTTTGTATTGGCAACAAGGTAAAGTGGCTCCATTTTTCTGCAAAAACAATAAAACAATGGGTAAGCTAACAAGAGAATTAGGAGAATAATTTTTTTTATTGAAAAAAAAACTAAAAATAAACACTAAAGCTAAACCAACTACGAAAATGTAACAATCCAATTAAGTAAGGAATAGAATCAAATTCGATCCCCGGCAACGGCGCCAGAAACTTGTTGCGAAAATTAGATAACCGAAATTAGGCTCATTAACTCTCAAATTTTTGTGCTCACAAGTATACGAATCAAATGAGAGTATAGCATATAAGCATGGATATCGTCCCACAGAGATCAAATTGATTCTAAAAATCTTACTAACTAAATTGAAACAAATTGTAATTGAGAAGCTTTAATGGAAAAGAGCGAAATTTTGAATTAAACTAAAAATGAAATATGACTTGAAAATAAAATGCATGAAATAATAAAATTAAAAACATAAGAAAATAAAACCTAGGGCATCCGAATTCACTGTAACCAATTCTACTTAATTCCCTTAATATGCTATGCTCAAGTAGTTCCCCAATACTGATGATCGATTTTCCCTAAATTATTCGACGGCCATGGCATCTGGTTACATCAAAAGTATCCTTACTATGTTAACCCTCTATGGCATCTAGATGGATTTAAACAAGTAAGAACCCATTAAGCTCTATGGAATTCGTTGGAAAATCACACAAACCCTAATTGTATGGCATCTACAAATAGGTGGTTATGGTATCAATTGCCAGAAGCTAAACCCAAGTTAAATAGGGCATATACTCTAACTTGCATCAAATCAACCTAATTTAAACCTAGATGGTGATCAAGCATCTAAATAAAAATCAAGCGCAATACAAATAGCAAAAGATACTCAATGAAGAAGAAAATCATGATAATAACAATGCCACAAGGCAATTAAGTAATCATGACTAGGGCTATATCGTAGCCCTAGAAAAGAAAAACTCCAAAGTAGCTCTTCCTCTTGGCCTTCCTTGTCGCAACCTCCTATGTACAATAGATGATTTTTGGTTTTGTTTTTGTGGTTGACCCCCCATATCATAAGAAGAAGGATCTCCTTATATAAAATAAACGGCAAACAAGCGCCTAAAGGTAATTAAAAGCATACTAATTACTAATCCTAATGGAAATAATAAAAAATAAACGGAAATAATAAAACTAATTATTAAGTTCTCTCCTAAATTCCATTGAATAGCACTCCCATGTCCATTTGATTTCCAAAACCGTTGCAGTCTCATCTTCTTGTTGTAACGCATATGCCTCGGTTCAGTTAATTAGCCTCTTGCTCCATTGGAATTACTCTAGACACTCAAAAAGCTCATTTTTCACTTCTTTTTCACGTACCTCCCGTATTGAATGCCTATAAATTAAAACAATATAAATTAGTGCATTTAACTCATTTATATACACAAAATCCAAAGGAAATATATGATTAAAATATATGAAAATATGTACCCATCACTAACCATTCACTATCTTAGCCTCATCCATGACTACATTAAAACAATTAAGTTTTATAAAAAAATTTAATGAAAAATAGTTAGAAGGGATCCGCTCACATAAATTTTGAGTGTGTCTCTTCAAGAGACGTCTTGCTTTGTATCTAAGTTACTCAAGCTTACACGTGAAAAAGATTCCTTTAGTACTCATCTAAGTAAATTTTAAAGCTTTTTAATTCAAACGTGATAAACAATCTCAAATTTGTTTAAATAGAGCGCATCACGTGATTCGAAACGTTGAATAACCTTAAAGTAGGTATGTGGTTCCCACGCGCCGCTGTGTGGACGGTCACCGCCGCCATGCCCCGGTTGGTCGCCAGTGGACGAGCCGCTGCTGTCGGCGAGCCGGTTGGCAACTTATTACCAAATCAAAAAATGAACGCAATCAAACAGGCCCTTAACAAGTCTTCACACCCGAGTTTCCCAAACTCACAAAGAGGCACGTGCATTTCAGAGAAGAAGGTTCTGAAAGCGCACAAAAGCCCTTCACTTGTTAGCCCTGTTTGGTCTGTCCTTGTTATAACAAGAACAGAAATAGTTCTCCCCACAAAAAAAATAAAAAAAAATAAAAAAAATAAAAAATAAAAAAAACAGAAATATCTCTCAAATTAAACACACAAACCAAAAGCACCAAAAAAAGAGAGGAAAAAACACACTACAACTCTCAAGGGGGTCAATCTAACCTCGGCCACCTTCGCCTCAGGTGCCTCTCTCTCTATCTCTCTCTCTCTCTCTCTCTCTCTCTCTCTCATCGTTCTTTGGTCAATTTGCTTGTTGGGTTTTCAATTCGCGCCCAAATCTCAACTGGATTTCTTTCATTTCTGTAAATTGTTGCTGAAATCTGTCAAATATTTTTGCGTTTTTTGCTTCCGCTACTCTTTCCTTCTACTTTTTGAATTGCAGGAAAGATATTTTGATCTCTGTGTCGGTGAGCTCTTGATATGGTCAACGTTTAGTTCCCAATGATTTCTGTCTTTCTAATTTTAGTAATTTGAGCAAACTTTGACTACCCTCGTTCGTTTGGATTGAGAAATTGAGAAATTTACTTCTGTTGCTGTAATTTTGGTGAACATACAGGTGAAAGCATTGTCTGAAAATTAGGGTTTTAGGTTTTGGATTGAAGATCATGTCTTCTGTGATCTGGGTTTTGCTGGAGAATTCGAGGCTTCGATGAGGATCTGGTTTTGGTGAATTTTGGGAAGTGGAGTTGGGGGAAAATGGTGCTCAATCAGAGCTTTTCTCGTATCGACACTTTGGAGCTGAAAGCGCTAATTGTGCGAAAGATTGGGCATCAGAGAGCTGACAAATACTTTGATCTGATCAGAAGATTGTTTAGTTCAAAGATTAGCAAGTGCGAATTCGACAAGTTTTGCAATCGGATTATTGGGAGGGAAAATGTCAATCTTCATAACGGGCTTATTAAATCCATCCTCAAGAACGCCTGCCTTGCAAAACATCCGCCCTTGACCGGTGTTCGGAAAAGGGGATGCACCCTTAATGTTAAAGTAGCAAATGGTTATCAGAAGGATGCGCTTCACTCGATTAATGCAGATGCAGTTTCTCCATCCCCTGACAGGATCCTGTCTCCAGTTAATCGAGAACGCAAGTTTCAGGACCGCCCAAGTCCTTTGGGGCCAAATGGAAAGTCCCAACATTTTTCAAAAGCACAAGAGCAGCAAAGTGCTACTGAATTGCTTTCTTTTGGAAGCAGGCCGCCTGTTGAAGTTGCCTCTGTAGAAGATGGAGAAGAGGTTGAACAGGATGCAGGAAGCCCAGCTATTCAAAGTAGAAGCCCAGTAACTGCTCCACTCGGTATATATTTGGGTGGATCGCGTAAATCTCTTCCTAATGTATCAGTAAGTGGTGCTTACCACCCTGTGACCTGTCAAAACAGTGGTGAGCTACCTGATACGAGATCCTTAAGAAATCGTTTGGAGCGGAAGTTGGAGAAGGAGGGTATTAATGTCTCTATAGACTGTGTTAACCTCTTGAATAATGGATTGGATGCTTATCTGAAGAGGTTAATGGAACCTTGTATTCGGCTAGGCGGGACAAGGCATGGCAGTGATCACTTAAAACAAGTGAGTGGTTCATATCCGTACAACGATGGTTCAAATGGGATGTTGCGTGGAAGACATATGCAAAGAGAAACAAAATCTACTTATGCAACCATGTCAGATTTTTGTGCATCAGTGGAGCTAAATCCCCAAATGCTTGGCGTAGATTGGCCCATACAGCTCGAGAAGATTGTCTTGCGAGCATCTGAAGAGTGAGCAGAACCTTATACATAATCAACAATTGATGAGATCACGAGACATGAAATTGCACCCTCACTTACTCACAGTAGAGTGTTTTGAGTCAATTCTTTAACATGATCAACTCTTAAGCCTTTGCCTGTTTACGGAGTTTTGAAGCATTGCGATAGGGAATAAGTCGTAGATTATGTGAGAAGTTTTGCTTTATGTTGCGTTTCGATATAGGCTTGATAATTGTTATGGGGTTATGGGGGAGGGGGCATGTTAATACGATAGTATGTAAACTTTTCAATACAAGCAAGACATGGAAAGTGTGAAGAATTCTTCGCACCATCCTTCAACGGAAATTGTTTCTGCTCGCCCGTTTATTGTTACCAAGTCATGCGAAAAATGCAATATCCAGTGTTCAAATTATTGCAGTTGGACAGTGACCATTTCCATTGCTGCTTGGCGTTACTCCTCTCAGCTGACATATTTTCTCAAATGTCAGCGATTTCATTGTTGGCGTTTTACTCTTGTAATTGTTGTAAAGATTTTTACGTGGACACTCCAACTGATACTTGCGGTGTCTTCAACAACATCAACCTATTGCTTTATACAAAACCCTCAAACTTGACCCAACAGCATAAATACTTTTACACGAATGGTGAAAAGACACGATCCGAATGTAATTACCAATGAATCGCAATGAGAGCGAGATTCATAGCCTGTGCTTCAAGCCTTCAACCATAGTCCGGCTGTGGATGTCGTGCTCGCATTTCTGCTCAGGCGTCCAGAAGGTTCATCACAAGCAACTTCCAAGCAGGGTAGTTGAGACAAGCAACTTCCAAGCAGGGTAGTTGAGACATGTCTAAATCTTGAAGATGAGACTAGTAAAAAGAATAGGCGCCTAGAGTCAATCAGCTAGGACGTCCTTGTGCCAGCTTTCTCCAAGCCTGCCGTGTACGTCATGTAAATGGTCCACAGATACGAAAATCCGTTGCTCACTAATGGCTGTTCAAAATGAGAGCATCAAAAACAACCAAGTTAGTTTCCAGAGCGTGAGAAATGTGCAGGTGAACTGATCAAGTCGGAAACTTCCTACGCTTGTCAAGAGCCAAACTTTAGGCTCTTAACCCGTGTTTTGTAAAAACTCAGCAGCCCAAGCAATCCCAATTTCACGTAATTCCAAAATCCAAAATAAAACTGAGAAAAACCAAGCTAAAAGAGAGCCTTCCACATACCTGTAAATGGACAGGAATGAATCGGAATGTGATAAAATCACATATTGGCCAGTACATAACACCATTTAACAATGTAGGGAACAAGTCTCGCTGTAGGCGGGCAACAATTTCTTCACCATTTTCACCTGGAATTGGCAATCATGGTAACTACTTAGACCATATGAAATTAATCATGGTATCCACACATCTCTCTGCAGACACAATTTCACTCTATTTTTTAAAGTTTACAACGGGTAAATTTCTTACGCAGCAGTACAGGTTTTATTCATTATGCATCCAAGTCTTGCCTACAAACATCTAGACCATATTTTGTGGTGAACTACAACTGGAATTGTATAACATATTCACAAAACTTGGCTACTTTCGGTAGCAGCATCCTATTCCTATGATGAACAATTCGTCAAAGTGATAAACCAGCCTAATTCACAGTCATTGACAAACCAGCCTAATTTCCGCCTAATTCAACCCCTGAACCTTCAAAATGTGCATAGGGAATTCCACAACTTTCCTAAACATTGCAAAATACAAAATTTCCACAAAATCGAACATACAAGCATCACTCATCACAAAAAAATGTGTCATTAAGAAAGGAACTTTATGCACACCTTGTAGACATGCATTCAAGGAGAAGAAAACAGACGTCATTGTAGGTCCGTAAAGCAGCTGCCCCATTGCCATTTTCTTCATTGTCGAAAACATATCTCGTTTCGGCAAAGCTTTCGACATGAGATTGAACCAGAAATGCAGCGACGGACCCAAAACCAGCATCCCGTAGCCAGCCATGCGCGCTGTCCTTACAAGATCATAAGATTCTGATAAGGATGATTTTGCTAATGTCTGATAAAGATCATTACTTGGTTAGATACAACCAGAGCCAAACTGACCAAGTGGGTAACTACAAAATGCCCAAAAGTGACGATATAATTACAATTCGACCCACCTGGGAGGACAAATCGGCGGCGGTGTAAATAAGCGCCGCGGTCACACTCTTGGTCAAAATGGGGCGGCTCTGGATCATACCCAGGTACCATCCCACGAACCCCAACTTGGAAGCCGACGGCGCTTCGACGGAGGACTTGGAGGAGGAGAAGGCGGAGGAGAAGACGGAGGGGGAGAGGTCGTAGTCTCTGGCTTTGCGGAAGACTTGAGGGAAGCGGAGGTAGGCTTTGGAGGGGGTCTGGGTTTGGGTTTGGGTTTGGAGCAGTCTCCGGGGCGCGATCGGGTCGGTGATGGAGTTCTTGTGTAACAGGCGAGTGAGGTTGGTGCTCCGGCGGAAAGCGGCCGTCATGATGGCGGTTGGTGGGTTTCTTTGGTCGCGGAGACTGTGAGGCTGTGACGTGGGGGTTTTAAGTTTTAAGTTTTGAACAAAAGGGGGAGAGCTGAGAGAAACACGTGGAGAAACGTTAAAGCGAGTTTATCATTTCCCAGAAAAGCAGAGAGTCGGTGAAGAGAGTCGCACTCGCATACGTCATACACGTGACCGACGTTGTTGAAGGGCTGTTCCCTTTCCCTAACACCAAAATGTAATTGGATCAATTTCCAGAAAGTCAGGTGTTCCCTGGACTTGCCGACACGTCCTTCTATTTCATGCCACGTGCGGGCAATTCTACCCGTTGCCTTTACACTTGCAGTGATGCCCTTGAACATCTGCCTATTTTCATTTCAGTCACTTTAGTAGCTTGTAGCAGCTTCTTTCTATAAGCTGCTTCGTTTGTCTATCAGAATGTCTAGCATCAAGGGTTTTATATAGGGATACTTTAGATACGGTCCTTAATCATTAATATTTTTTTATTAAAACCTTAATGATATTCAAAGTTTGATCAAAGTCCATTGACTTTGTACACCTCATTGTATTACTATTAATATTTTTATTTTTATAGTTTTGACATTAATTGTTTGATATTTTATAAGATTTATAATCCTATAAATTTAAAATCCCTCATTATAATACTATTAGAAACGGTTACAATAAAAGAATTCAAACATTTTGATTGAATAAATGGATAAAAACTACGTAAAAATAAGAAATAATAAATGGAAAAGAATGTATCCATAGTGTTAAAAAAATTGGTACATTTTACAAAAAAATTGGTACATTTCACATATAACAAAGTGGTACATTAATAAAGAAGAATGGGTACATTACAAATAAATTAGGGTACATATAAAAGATTAAAAACTTATGAGTACAAATGAATTTTTAAAAAATATAGGCCCTAAAAGAAATTAATACATGGGTACAAAATAAAACTAAAAAGAAAATACTACAAATTTTAAAAAACATGTTGCAAATTAAAAGTGGGTACAAACTAAAAATATAAATATATGATACAAAGTTTAGGCATAAAACATAAATATACCATATGTAATTTTTCTATCATTGATTAAATATGCAATGTCACGTGACGGTATACACATGGGTACAAACACAAATAAAACTTTAAAAAATATGGGCACAAAAAGAAACTAATATATGGGTACAAATTAAAAATGAAAAGAAAATTGGTACAAATTAAAAAATATTTGTAAATTAAAAATAGGAACAAACTAAAAATAAAAATATATGATAAAAAATTTAGCCATAAATATAAATATACTAATTGTAACATTTTTAACACTAAAAGAATATATTTAAAAATAAAAATATTTTATTATTCAAATAATTAATGATGTTATTAATACCCAAGGTGAAGGAAAAATTTTGTCCTAGCTAAGAACAAGTAAGAACATTTGAATACATGTGACAGTCCGTCCCTAATTTTAAGAATTTTTAAAGTTTTAATAAAGGATTTTACAAAAATGCCCTTTGAGGCACGTGCATTATTCGAGGTTATCGTTGTGTCGTGCCATCTAAGAATTTTTTTTTCTTTTCTTGACATATCCTCGTAGTATTCAGCACTACGGACGCGTGGGCGTAGACGGTTCGTGATTTGAAGTTTTATCGAAAAAGTTATTAACGTTTGAAATTGGGATTTTAAGGAATTATAATTTTAGTAAAATATAGAAATTCTTTTATGAAAATGGACGGCCCAGATTTAATGATGAATGAAATGGATGGTTGGGATGAGCGAAAGGTTTTGTGTGTGTATGTATGGGAAGCTGTCGGGGAAGGGAGGAAGAAACAGAGAAAATCGGGATTGGGCAAGGCTGCCCAATCTGGAAACAGAGAGATGAAGCCGAATGGGAAGGAGAGAGAGAAAGATGAGTGACGAATCAGGAAGAGAACAGGAGGGAAAGGAGGAAGAAAGGAAAGGAGGGGATCGGTCGGGTCCTGGCGACCCGCGCACCCAACCCACGCGACCCGGAGGGAAGTCCGGCCAAATTTGGCCATTTCAGGCGAGTTTTACTCAGTTTTCACTTGGTATCATCATGGCATCATCCCAGCTTCCATTTCCATCCGAGTTTGAGGGTCATTGGTCGTGATTTCATGACAAAAGTTCACGTCGAGCCCGAGGGCACCCACGGTGGAATCCGCCAATTCTGAAGCAATTTCTTCCAATTGACACTACTCATACCCTCCCCTTGAGGCCTAGAACAATGCCCAATCGTTGGTTGGAGCGGCGGAGTTGGATTGAAGTCGAATTGAAGATCACCCATTTCTAGGGTTTCGTACGGGTTTGATGAAATTGAAGTGTTTCCAGGCCACATTGGCATTGGCCACAGGTATAAAGTTTGTTCTACTCTTCGATACCTTCAATTCTGTATTTTTTTGAGAATTTTTGGAAATAGTTAGATTTTCCGGCGAACCGAGGCGGCCGACCGCCACCCGCGGCGGCCCGTGCGGCGGCGCGTGGCCAATGGCCCGCCAATGTCATTCTTAGCTTGTGTTTAAGGTTCTAGGTTCAGTTTTGATAATTGATGGACGTAAATTGAATAATTGAACCTAAGTTCGTTACGATTCGTGGTTAGGTGAAAATGTGAATTGACGATCCGACCGTTGGATCGTCACCAAACTTTGATACGTTGTAATACGTAATATTTGAGGATTTTAGGAACTTACGGATCGGGAATCCGATTTACGGATCTTTCGGAATTAGAGTTGTAAGTTCATAAAATAGAATGTTAACCGTCACTTAGTTTTGACAATTGACGGAGATCCGACCGTTGGATGGTAATGAAATTTTAGGATGATGTCCTAGAGGTATATTGTGGACCTCTGGAAGTTATGGATTTAAAATCTGATTTGCAGGCCTTCCAGATCAAACTCCGTAGTGACGTGTCTTATATAAGTTATAAATTCTATCGATATGATTTCTAAGGTTGGATTTGATTATTGTTCTAGGCGGCGATCGTCATGACGCCTTGATGTATGGTGCTACGGAGTTGTTGGGCGAATTTCAGGTGATGGGCAGTTTTTGTCTTTCGTATTACCTATATACTATTAATTGTCCCAGAAATCGAATTTATATGAAAGTATGTTTTCAATTGCCATGATGCATATCATAAATTATATGAATTGATATTGATGCTTATATATATATGTGAATTGGTGTTGTGGACGCACAGGTGAGTATCCGGTGAGTTTATATGGTTTATGCGAATGAATGATGATGTGAATTATGTTGAGAGCTCATAACTTGCACCCTTGGTGTTAGTGCTTATGTTATTCACCCTGCATCACACGCTCATCTTGTATCCAAGTAGATGCTAGTCGTACAGACCACTAGAGGTGGTTCCGACATGCCAGTCGTATAGACCATTAGAGGGGTTCCGACTGGTAGGTGACCTTAGATTATGTGCACAGATGATTGATGAGAGAAGCACTAGAGCATATTATTTCACCATCTTAGTCGTACAGACTACTATAGGTAGTTCCGACTTATGTGCAGTGTAGTGCCGTACAGGTCACAGTGGTGACTCCGGCAAGGCCGTACAGGTCACAGTTGGTGACTCCGGCTGGATGGGATATTGAGCTATAGAATCAGCCGTACAGGACCACTGTAGGGTCTCCGGTTGATTTATTATTTCGCCTGATTTATATTGATGCATTCATACTATATTTTGGCATATGACATGGCATGGCATATTCTTCCTGAAAAGCGTTGAAGTATTGTGATTTGAGCTTTTGATGATATATATATATATATATATATATATGTTTATATACTACTTTTCTGGGAAAGTATACAGGTTTTACAGCGAGGGGTTAGAAATGTTTTAAATGAAATGTTTTCGAAAAACTTTGTTTTACTGAACCACTCAATTTTGTTTTGCGCCTCTCCAGGTTCTAAATAGTTGAGCTTTGGTGGCCACGAGGAATCCAACGGTGTTCTGACAGAATTCACAAAAGTATGATTCACCCTCGGGTGTTATATCTTAGTAATTGTATTTTTAAAGCTTCCGAACTGTGTAAATGGTTACGTCACTCTCACGTGACGGCCAGCATGCCCTTCTTCGGGACGGGGTGTGTCAATACATATGCAAACTATTAACATATTAAAGTAGGCATGCATTCAAAAACAATTCATAAAACCCATGACTTTCAAAGCCTAGTATATGGTGAACCAATAAACTCTTTAACATCATTTAAAGAGAAGGTAAGATTTAGAGTTTCTTTACCCTTGAAGCTCATCCTTGATTACACAAGGGATTCACCCAAGTGGAGGGCCTTCAAGTCACCTCCTTGCTCCTTAGATCTTCCTTGTGATTTTCCTCCTTTAGTGCTCATTTTCTTCTTTGAGGATTTGAGGATTAGTTCTTCAAAACATCAAAAGCTTGATGTCTCTAAGTCTTCACACCAAGAATGAAGTGTGAAGATGAAATAGATGACTTAGAGAAGAAAATATTGCTAGCTAAATCCTCTCTAAGTGGCCGGCCTCTTTAGAGAAAATGAGAGAAAGTGTTTCACCTCATTTGACCAAGAAAAACCCTAATTAGAAATAAAGCTATAAAAGTTTGATTTTTATACTTCATTTCAAGTGAGTGGCAAACTTGTAATTAATCCAAGTTTGCTACCCTCACCCTTATGGCCGACCTTACCTTTGTTATTGGGGCTAATTTGCCCATTTTGTTGTTTTAGTTGTCAACTTAAAACATATAATGGGCCTTGTGGACTAAAACGCTTTTGAGCCCCGAAGCCCAAAACCAACTTAAAAGCCCAATACGAACCTTTTCGTAAAATTAATTAACTAATTAATTAATCTTGACCATTCTCAATTAAACCATTTAATTGCTTATCCATCTCATTTATATTTCTTCACTTTCACCCTTACTCGGTGTACGATCCATTAGGTTCCAATTAACGAGGCAGTGGGCGATTGTTACTCTTAACGATCGATTGTGAATTGAAACAACATTTCAATTCTCCCTTTGATTAGTGTTTGCTAATCTTCAAGGCTTCCACAAACCATGAGTGACACCTAGCATCATATCATGGTTACCCAAGCTAAGTAAAAGTGGTTGGAGAAC